AAAAAAAAAAAAAAAAAACTCCTTGGAATCTTACATTCTTCATTTGCCACCAAATTCTCTCTTGCCTTTACCATTAAAAATTCTCAAACATGTCTTTACTTACCTCACAGTCTGGCTTCCCTGGAAACTACTGAAACTGTTCCTTATCAAGGACACCTGCTCTCATTTTAGTCAACTTTTCAACAGCATCAAGACTTGAATGTCTCTTATATGGCCTGGTTTATTTCTAGGAAAAGTAATCATTGCAAATATTCCTTCACAGAAAAATAAAGAAGTTATAGATGTTTACCTTTCTTCTTCCAGATTTCTCTCACGTAAACTGTTGTTAGCATTCACACATGGTGGACCATCAGGAGGTGAATCAGTCTCCAACACTCCTATAACACTATAGTTTTTTGAGGTACACTTCTCATTTTTATTTTTTTTTATATCCTTCACATGCAAAGTTGAACTTCTACTTAGAAAAAAATGCATTAAAAAAAAAAGCCATTGGTTTCTAATAATTATAACGACAAAAGAAAACTAATTAAAAAATCCCAACTCTTTCCCTAAATTCATTTACTAACTTAAAAACAATCAGAAAACATCAACTACATTCAAGGAAATGTATACCCTCAGCTTCAAAAGGGGGGTAAAAGGTACAAATCGACACATGAGTTAATCTATGGGAAAGTTGTATCTAAGCACAAAGAAGGCTTTATATTAAAGAGGGAAAATATAGAAGAGGAGCTCTCCGCACAAAAAGTGGGGAAATAATTTTACTTAGCAAACAGAGTGTGAGCACAAAGATTAGACACAGGGAGGGCAGGTGTTCACGTAAGAACTTCAGAGGAAAGCAGGAAATGCAAGAAAGCTAGAACTGGAGATGAACGCCACCCTGCAGGGCAATGTTGTTCCAGAAGCTGGCGCTCGCCCCTTACCAGGAACGACTGTAAGACACGGAAGCAGTACAGGTTAGCGCTATTCCTTTGGCTATTATTTACATATATTTTAATGTTTAATTTTAATAAACTTTTTTAACATTACATGAGGCATATATAACATGAAAGAAGAAACTAGGGAAATTCTGGGGCTTGGGGAGCACCTTATTTTTAAAATAAAAATTGCCACTATATATAGTTCATAAAAAGAACAATCTGGTTAGCTATTATTTTGTTTAAAAATAAAATGACTAGACAACTGTTGTGTATGTTTAGCCTAGTACCAATTCTAAGATGAATAGAAAATTCTAATTATTTTTTTATGGAGTAAACAACATGCATAGGAGCATCACTATTATAAGCCTACGTAAATTTCTAGAAAGACTAGACGTTCCTACTAGAGATCATTATGTTAGTTGAGTATGAACTGAAAAAAGTACCAAAAGCAAAGGATAAGTGACAATGATCATAAAAGACATGTAAAAAATCTTCAAGTTAAAACTAAACAGCAAAAAAAAAAAAGAAGGAAATTGTTGACATCAATCATTACACAATTCTTTTTTACCTAAACTTTAAACTTCAAAAATAAGTCTACACTGTACAAATATGAAACCACTTTCATTCTAACATAGTTGAGGGAAGGCAACTTTTTGTTTCTTTTTAATTTGCTATTGGGTGCAGGTGCTTGGCAGAGAGAGAGCCCCTAAAGGAATGGCTGCACTGCAGTCCCTTCTTCTCCATTCTTTTCTCAGGGTCTTGGGCATCCAAGCACATGTGCCCAAGGTGTTTCTCTAGCTGTGAAATCTGGGACTTGAACCATGTAGTTGAACCTGTGGGATCAAGGCAGAATTACTACCACGCTACCAGCTGGCCCAGAAAGCAATTTCTAAACAGAAAACATCTGGTTGGGACCAGCAGTTAGCATAATGGCTATGTTGCTGGACTCCCATGTTGTCGACAGCAGTTCACATCCTGGACCCAGTGGCTTAAAACTCACGCCAGGTACGTGTGCATGTGTACCCAAGATCCCAAGAGTAGAATGGAGGAGAAGGGATTGCATTGTGGTCATCCCCCCCGGGGGTGATTTCTCACTTTCTGTATCTCTGTCTCTCTCTGGCTGGCTGGCTAGCACACGCACCCTATAGGAAAAACATCTCCAAAAAAAAAAAATAAAGAAAAAGAAAAAGAAAACATCTGGTCAAAGTCATCTCAAAGATAGGAAAAGACTGACCTGCAGCCATGCTAACTCATGACCACAAGAATCAGTATAATAAAAAGGATTTTTAAAAATAAAAAGACTTTATACATAGGTCATTCTGGAAATCTGCTCACAATAAACCAGAATTTTTAAAAAGAATTATTTTACTTAATTTATTTTAATTTGACCATAGAGGGACAGAGCGAGAATGAGAGTGGGAGGGAAGGAAAGCGTGAAAGGAAGCCACCAGGTCTGGGACTCAAACCACAGTTGGCCATGGGAGTCCAGCACCCTTAACCACCATGCTACCTGCTGGCCTTGGAAAGTTTTTAGTTATAAAGAAATCCACCAAGATACATTCTCTTGTTCAACCATCGTTTCATATATTCACCAAACACTTATCAAATTCATAATATGAGTTAATGACCTTACTGGTGTAAAGAAACAGTTTTTTGGTTTTTTATACTTGAGAACTTAATAACTGGAGAGTAATAATTTTTGACAGATTGTCTTTAGTTCACAAGAGTCTAAATGAATATTCAGTCGATATAACTGATATTTCAGACTATCTCGGGAGATCATAGCTATTCATGATGATAATGTCAAAGGAACTATAATACACAGACTCATCAAGGAGGACTCAGTTCTATTTGACATAGGGGCCAGCAGGTGTTGGGGAGGTTAAGGCGCTAGATTCCCACACATCAGTCTGTGCAGTTCAAGTCCTGGTCTTGGCACCTTGAAGAACATGCTGGGTACATGTGTGTGCATGCCAATAATCCTGAAAAGAGATTGTAGAAGATTGTGGCATGACCATTATACCCAAACGACGTTTTCTCAAACTACCCCTTATAATTCATTCTCTCTTATGAGCACACACTCCTTATAGGGAGAAAAAAATAAAAATAAATTTGTTCAGCTGTCTGTTACATGTCTGTATTTTGTATGTCACCAGTAGGGTAAAACTAACCTTTCTCATGACAGTCTAAACCCAGCTCATGTTCCCTATTCGTGGGTGAACAATCCAATGCTTGGTGAATTCTCCTTCATATCGTTTAAAAAACAAAAATCTTTGCGTGGGGATGAGCAGATGGTGTAATGTTTACGCTGCTGGACTACCACATAGTCAACTGCAGTTCAAGTTCTGGACCCAGTGACTTAACACTGATGCCAGGTATGTGTGTATGTGTTCCCAAGATCCCAAGAGAAGAATGTAGAGAAGAGATTTCAATGTGACCATCCCCACTGAGTGGTAATTTCTCACTTTCTACTTCTCTATATTTCTCTGTCTCTTTGGCAAGTGCATGCACCATATAGCAAAAAAAAAAATCTCTCTCACTAAAAATATCTATGTGTGATCATTTAACTTTTAAGTCAACATTTATGTGTTGGAGTGCTTTAGGATATTCCGTTTCTAAGACAATTTTGAATGAATGCTCTCTTATCATGAAACTACACATGAATACAAGTTTTAAGAACAATTACTAACAGCTTACTGTAAATATTTAAAAAGATAATGTTTTAATTCTTCTAATACTTAGACCTTAAAACAAACTTAAATATAATAAGCATGTCCTTCTCTATTGGATCATTTCCAATAGCATATAAACATAGTCTAGAAGCATCTGTTTTAAGATTTTAAAAAAAAGAAAAAGAAAAAGAAAGCTAACTTTCTGAAATCCCATGCTCTTCACTTATCACCCAGTTCTCTCTTGCCTGTACCAATAACAATTCTCAAGGATATATCTATATTTACCTCTCAGTCAGGCTTCCCTGGAAATGACTGAAACTGCTCTTTATCAAGGATGCTTGTTCTTGTTTTACTCAAATTTTCAATAACATCAACAGTTGAGTGTTCTCTTGTTTTGCCTGATGACTACACTATTCTGGTTGTGTTTCTAGAAAAAGTAACCAGCTTCACAGGGACATCTAGAAGTTATCGATGTTTACCTTACTCCTTTTGGATTTATTTCATGTGAACTGTTGACAACATTCATGCCTGGTCGACCATCAGAAGGTGAATCAGCTTTCAACACTTGTATAACCCTAGGTTTTGTGGAGCTCCATTTCTCATTTTCAGCCTTCTTTGTCTCCTTCATGCTCAGAGTAGAATTGCTACTTAGAAAGAAATTCATTTAAAAAGCCTTTGGTTTCTAATAATTATACTGCCAAAAAAAAAAAAAAGGTACTTTCTTATACTTTCTTAAAAATCCCACCTCTTTCCCATCTAAATTCATTTACTAATTGAAAAAAAAAAATTCTTTAAATGTCAACTACATGCAAGGAAATGTACTTTCGGCTTCCAAAGGGGGATAAATGTACAAGTTGACACAAGTTAATCTATAAAAAATTGTATCTAAGAACAAAGAAAGCTTTATATTAAAGAGATAAAACAAAGAAGAGGAGCGCCCCAGACAAAAGTGGGAAACAACATTCTACTTAGCAAACGGAGTGTGAGCACAACGATTAGACACAGGGAGGGCAGATGTTTCCATAGGAACTTGAAAGGAAAGCAGGAACTACAGCAAAGCTAGTACTGGGGATGAACATCACACTGCAGGGTAATGTTGTTCCAGAGCTGGAGCTCACCCCCTACCAGGAACGACTGTAAGACCTGGGAACAGTACAGATTAGTGCTATTTCTTTTGGTATTATTTATATATATATAATAATGTTTAATTTTAATAATATTTAACATATCATGTGGCGTATATAACATGAAAGAAGAAACTAGGTAAATGCTGGAAGCTGAGGAGGGCTTTATTTTCAAAATACCCATTTGTCACTATATATAGTTCAAAAAGCAACAGTATGGTTAGTTACCATTTTGTTTCAAAATAAAGTGATGATATAACTTTTGTATGTGTAGCCTAGTACCCAAGCCTGATATGAAGAGAGAATTGTCATTACTTTTTGGTGCAATAAACAGCATACCTAAGAACATACATTTTCTATTCTTTTTGAATTTAAAAATCTTTCAATATTATTTAATAAAAAAATCTCATACTGTCATGTACAGGAAACATCAACATTTACTACTTTGTCAAGTTTAATGAAAAATACCATAGTTGTATGGTTGGAAAATTCTGAAACCCATACTCTAGTGAGTGTCTGTCATAATTTAGTAGGATTTTTTTCCTCTCAAATAAAATCCATTGTCAAGCTACAATAGTTATATACCAAAACAAAACCTAGTTACATGCTTTAGATTGTCTCGTGAAAAAAATAATCCAGTTGCTCCTAACCCCTGATGCAAGGCGCTTCAAAGCACCTGCACAAAACATCCATGTAAACAGCAGTCCAGTACATTAGTTAAATAACGTGCATGACTTTTAC